ATGGGAAGAGAGCCTTAATCTAAAACTAACTGAACAACAGTGGACTTCCGCTTTATCTCTAGTTCATGCATCATCCATTTGCTCTCGACACAGACTCATCCAATGCAAAGTTTTCTTCAGGGCTCATTACACAAATGCACGATTATCAAAAATTTTCCATTCCGTGAATAATTCCTGCAATAGATGTAATTTGTCACCAGCAAATCATGTACATATGTTCTGGTCTTGCACTAAGCTAGGGCCGTTCTGGACGCATGTCTTTGACATTTTGACCAGGGCATATGGTTCTACTGTTGTTCCAAACTCTCTATCTGCAATATTTGGTATTCCTCCTTCTTCGGGGCTGTCAAAGGCGTTAAAAAGGGCGTTGTCATTCACTACTCTTCTGGCGCGTAGGTTGATCTTGCTAAACTGGAAGCTTCCCAGTCCCCCATCGTATGATCGCTGGGTACGAGAGGTGTTGTACAATCTGAAGCTTGAGAAGTTGAGGTTTTCGCTTATTGGAACAGTAAAATCATTCTACGACACATGGGATCCTTTTCTGCGCTATATAGACTCTTTGAATATTTCTTATGGGAATGATTAGAACTTATTTGTAGGTACTAGACTATGATGTGGTGTGTATACATTCTATTTACTAATTGTTAATTATTATTACTGGTACCCGTCTAAGTGTATTTAATTTAGTTTATTTTTTCCGTGTGTGTGCGTGTGTGTGTGTGTGTGTGGCCTGTGGGTGGGGAGGAGGGGGTTGGGGTGTTTGCATGCAGTTTATTTTTTTGATTGTGTGACACCTTATAATTATTAGTTGTCACTGTATGTTGGGTTATGTTGAAAAAGTTCTATAAATAAAGTTGAAAAAAAAAAAAAAAATGAGTTGTGCAAGTTTAACAGGGTGCTACGTAGAACAAGAGAAATTTATTTTTCTAAAACCATTGATGGCTGCAATAATAATCTACGACTTATGTTTTCAACAGTTAACGGATTAACAAACCCCCCTGTTCAGCTGCCATTCGAATTTGCTTCAGAATCTAAATGTAATGAGTTTGCACAATTTTTCAATGACAAGGTTCAGAGCATCAAAAACGCCATCACCTCCAAGGCAGAAATAACATTACAACAGCCGGTGAGGCTTTTTGAGCTATCGCACTTTGCACCAACAGATAATGAAACTGTCCAAGATGTTGTCTCTAGCCTTAGTTCCTCCACATGTAGCCTGGATGTACTACCCACTAAATTTTTTAAGTCTGTTTTGAGCAGTCTTTTACCTTTGCTCACACAAATAGTGAACATGTCTCTCTCATCTGGAACATTTCCAATGGCCCTGAAAACGGCAGTCATCAGACCCCTCCTAAAAAAGAGGAGTCTAGATGCCACAGTTCTTAAGAATTACCGCCCCATTTCAAATCTGCCGTTTATGGGAAAAATTCTGGAAAAAGTTGCTTACCAACAACTTACAGAATTCTTAGTAACTAATAGTTCCTTTGATGCGCTCCAGTCCGGCTTTAGAGCCAATCACAGCACTGAGACTGCACTAGTGAAGGTTACAAATGACATCCGACTTAACACCGACACAGGAAAAGTCACAGTTTTAGTAATGTTGGATCTGAGTGCTGCGTTCGACACAGTCGACCACGAGATCCTCATGCAGAGACTAGAGCACTGGGTGGGTGTCACTGGGACTGCCCTAAGTTGGTTTAGGTCTTACCTAGAAGACAGGAAATACTTGGTTCAGAATAGGAAACTGTGTCTCAGATGATATGGCTCTGACCTGCGGAGTGCCACAGGGATCAATTCTGGGGCCTCTTCTGTTGCCATTAGGTCAGTTAATACGCTCCAACAATGTATCCTACCACAATTACGCTGATGACACTCAAATTTATGTCTCACTTACTGCAGGAGAACATGGACCAGTGGAATCACTCCTTCACTGTACTCAACAGATTAGTGATTGGATGCAAAATAACTTCCTTCAGCTAAACGCAGACAAAACAGAATTGTAAGTAAGTTTTTATTTATATACCGCCTTTTCACTGCAGATCTGAGTCTCAAAGCGGTTTACAATTGTTAATTTTTTGGGCATTTGTCTCTCACTCCACACAGAGATGGGAGGGGCCAGTACAGGAGGCACATGCCAGAACTATTGGACATGTTTTTAGTGGTAGGGGAAACCGGAGTACCCGGAGGAAACCTACGCAGACACGGGGAGAACATGCAAACTCCACTCAGAAAGGCCCTGGTCCGACCGGGATTCGAACCCAGGACCTTCTTGCTGAGAGGCGAGAGTGCTATCCACTCAGCCACCGTGCCGCAATTGATTGTCTTTGGTCCTCAGAAACAAAGAGAGAGCGTTATTCGTCACCTCCAGTCTCTCTCCCTGGAACCTGTAGGCAAGGTCAGAAACCTAGGAGTTATAATGGACTCAGACTTAAATTTTAACAGTCATATCAAATCAGTAACATCAGCAGCATTTTACCATTTGAAAAACATTGCCAAAATTAGAAACATAGTGTTTAAATCAGATCTGGAGATTCTCATCCATGCATTTGTCTCCAGTAGGTTAGACTACTGCAATGGCCTGCTCACAGGTCTCTCCAAACAGGCTGTAAAACAACTGCAGTATGTCCAAAATGCTGCAGCTCGAGTCCTGACCAGGACCAGGAAATATGGCCACATTAGTCCAGTTCTCAGGTCTCTGCACTGGCTTCCTGTGGCTCAGAGAATAGACTTCAAAGCAGCACTGCTTGTGTACAAGTCTCTCCATGGCCTCGCACCAAAGTACTTAAGCGACTTGTTAGTGCCATATGAACCGGCCCGGACTCTGAGGAGCACAGGAGGTAGCCTCTTACTGGTTCCAAGAGTCAGAACTAAACATGGGGAGGCAGCGTTTGAGATTTATGGAGCTAAAATCTGGAACAATCTTCCTGAGGATGTGAGGCTAGCATCTACTCTGGCAATTTTCAAATCAGGGCTAAAAACTGTTCTTTTTAGCTGTGCATACGGCTGAAGGATTTTATTGATACATACTCTTTTTTTTAATGCATTGTGGTTATTTATTATTTTAATCCCGTGTGTGCTTTTAATATTTTAAGGTTTTTTTCATTACTTGTGATTTTATTCTGTTTTTAATGTATTTATTGTTTGTATATGTAGTTTTTGATGTTTCTGATTTGTCTGATATTATGTGGGTTGTGAGGCGCTTTGAGTGGCCTTGTGTTGGAAAGGCGCCATACAAATAAAGTTGATTGATTGATACTTTTTTCGTGAGATACTTAAATAAATATTTTTTTCACAGTACGAGCTATATATATATATATATATATAATATATATATACATGACCGCAACACAGAGTCGGGGTGCGTTCACAGACGGTGGAAATCGTAGGAATTTTTAGATTTCGGCGGAAAAAGTGCGAGAATACAGGAGGGAGGAACTTTCTCGTTGCATTTCAAAAGAGAAAACAGATTCCAACGTTCATAGTGATGTCTGCCGTTCATGACACATAAAATGAACTAATTCACGTTCAAGTTCTTTTTTTAAAACTGTGTTGCGTTCAGTTCAACGTTCACAAAAAAATGAGCGTGTTCAATGAACGCGTTCTTTTGAACTTGTTCACGCACAACACTGTCGGTGCAGCGTGCGCAGTGATGCGGTCGCTGTATCGGACCGTTGTGGTAAAGAGGGAGCTGAGCCGAAAGGCAAAGCTCTCGATTTACCGGTCAATCTTCGTTCCTTCCCTCACCTATGGTCATGAGCTGTGGGTAATGACCGAAAGAACGAGATCGCGGATACAAGCGGTCGAAATGAGCTTCCTCCGCAGAGTGGCTGGGCGCTCCCTTAGAGATAGGGTGAGGAGCTCAGTCACAAGGGAGGAGCTCGGAATAGAGCCGCTGCTACTCCACGTTGAGAGGAACCAGTTGAGGTGGCTCGGGCATCTGTTCCGGATGTCTCCTGGACGCCTCCCTGGGGAGGTGTTCCGGGCACGTCCCACCGGGAGGAGGCCCCGGGGAAGACCCAGGACACGCTGGAGGGACTATGTCTCTCAGCTGGCCTGGGAACGCCATGGGGTCCCCCCGGACGAGCTGGAGGAAGTGTGTGTGGATAGGGAAGTCTGGGCGTCTCTGCTTAGACTGCTGCCCCCGCGACCCGGCAACGGATGAAGCGGAAGAAAATGGATGGATGGATGGATCTTGGATTTGACTCTTAGTAGAAAGAGGGATTCCTTTCACATTTTCAGGAGTTGGTAAATAAATCTGTGCTGTTGTGACCCGTCCTGCTCCATCCAGTGGCTACTCCATCTCTGCTGCTGTGACCTGAAATGCTGTTGCTGATTATTACTATTGTTATCTTTTTAGAATGATCCATTTTTATTTATTTTTTTACTGCTACTGGACACCTGAATTTCTGCTACGGGGATCAATAAAGTATTTATCTATCTATCTAAAGCCTAGCGTACATCGGACTGGCAACTGATTATATCCGTCGCATATGAGTTGCTGCCCCGCACAAATCGACAATCTGACAAAAACGGGAAACTCCCAGTGGCAGACCAGTCGCTGGAATAAAAGCGCGTACATTGACAGCAAATGGCCTCAACTACAGTGTGTTTTCTGACATAAACTGTTGCGGGCTCGCAATACACGCAATACACACACGTTGTCGGAGCGGCGCATGGAGCGCGCACATCGGGTCATATCTCCGAAACTGAGGACAACTAGTTGCCGAAAAGTAGAACACGGGCAACTGACTGAAACTGGAGACCGACTGATCATCTCCAGTTGTAAGAGCGCGCACATCGACCGATTTCGGCAACTGATCATCTCCCACCATCTCCTCTCAGTTGCCAAAAGCCGCCTTGCAACTAGTTGTCCCCAGTTTCTCTGTCGATGTACGCTAGGCTTTAAAGAGTACATATCTGCTATAGGAGCCACATATCTCTCTCTTTCTACCTCCCCAACATTCAAAACCTAACTGAGATTTCCTTTAAATTAGATTAGATTAGGTTGTATTTACCACACACCTTAGCATCGATACTGCAACCCAATGTCCATCTGTGACTGCGTAAGGAACGCTCTGATCTGAAATCCACTCCAGGTCTCCTCCCTGCGTGTAGAGGCACGTCTAAGAAGTACATTTAAATTAGTTAGAATCCAAGATACTTTACATTGCCTACAATTGTGACTGCTTTACCTCATAATAGGACCAGATCCCAGGTGTTCCCCCATAGCAGCCCTCCTCTGCAGTACCAGACGTAGCAGCCCCAGGTCCACTCACAGTGGGATCGGCCAGTCGAAAGGCCACTCCGTACGCCCCAAATCCCATGTTTAGCTTTGCTGCTGGCGCACCCAGAGTCACCCAGTAGTTCATTGCGTACTCCTAGTGCATGATGTAATTATTTTATTTAGGCAAGGCAAGTTTATTTGTACAGCACAGTTCACAGACAAGGCAACTCAAAGGGCTTAAGAAAACAAGATCATACAAAACAATCAAATTACATTAAAATCATAAATAATCACAGCACATTGAAAAGAGTGGAGATACAATCCTGTAGGCAGAACTGTTAACCTGGATATGAACATTGTCAGCCTGTCTCACCTGTTTTGGAAGTTTGGTCCAGATTTTAACCTGATAAATCTGCAATGCTGCCTGTCCATGTCCCTGTGCTCTTCAGAGTCTGAGTTGGTTCATATGGCGCTAACATGTCACAGATGTAGTTTGGTGCAAGGTCAAGAGACTTGTAACAAACTGAGCTGCTTTAAAAACCCCAGTTACCTGATGTAACTAAGGTTCTATGAATATGTTGCGAAGCCCTTTAGGCTTCGCTAATGCATATCTCTTCGGAAGCATCGCTTCCCGCCCTGAGAAGATCAAACGATCCACCCTCCAATCACCTTCACGTCCTGGCGTAGGTCTGTCCCCTATAAAAGGGTCATGCACCACAGCTCTTCTCCTTTCGAACTCAGCCGAATAAGAGAGGGCAGGCCTACTGGGCTCGAAGCTGAAGGGCTTCGCAACATATTCATAGAACCTTAGTTACATCAGGTAACTGGGGTTTCTATTTCATATGTTGCTTCGCCCTTTAGGCTTCGCTAATGCATAACATAGCGAAGCCCAGACCAATGTACTCCCAGCAGGCATGAACTCTGGTGATTGGAGCAAACTCGTGACCCTCCTGCTCATACCGCAACCAAGCGGTAGAAACGGAGGTCCTACGAGCCATAGAGAAAGGGATGCAGGGCTACCTCTCCCAAGAGTGCCCGCACATTCCCCAACCCGCAAAGCAGGAAAGAATTCAGAACAAACCTGGGCAGGCAGCCTCTCCCAAGAGCACCTGAACCCCAGGAATGTAGAGCAGACTGCAGAAGGGTCTAGGCCGCCTCTCCCAAGAGCGCCTACCCCTACTGCAGAGGTGTCCAGGCCGCCTCTCCCAAGAGCGCCAACACCTCTCCACATAACCCTAGACGAAGGAGGAACTAGGGCCGCCCTGCACTCAAAACCGAATGAGCCACAGAGTCAGAGGCCACATCTAGTAGGTAAAACTGCACAAAGGTCGAGGAGGAGGACCAAGACGCCGCTCTGCAGATCTCCTCCACCGAAGTGCCACGGAACAAAGCCACCGAAGCGGCAACCCCGCGAGTGGAGTGAGCCCTCAACTGGGCCGGAGGCGGCAAGCCCTGAGCTTCATACGCCAAACGAATAGCAAGGCAAAGCCAGTGGGCCAAGCGCTGTGGAGACAAAGCAGCACCCTGACTCCTGGTGCCAAACCCGACAAACAACTGATTCGACCGTCTGAGGTCAGACGTGCGGTCCAAATAGCATCTCACAGCCCTGATCGGGCAGAGACTATGACGCCGCTCTTCCTCCTCCGAAGCATGCGGAGGAGGGAAAAACGGTCTCACCCTGATCACCCTAGATCTGAAAGATGACGTGACGACCTTGGGCTGGAATGCCGGGTTAGGCCACAACTCCATCATGCCCTCCCGATCGGGGAGGGACAAACAAGACGGCTGCATGGAAAGGGCGCACAGATCCCCAGACCTCTTGGCCGAAGCCAACGCCAACAACAATGCCGTTTTGTAGGACAAACAGGCAATGGTCGCATTGTCCAGGGGTTCAAATGGAGGCCCCGACAGACCAGCTAAGACCACCTGAAGGTCCCAAGACGGAGCCGACCGCCGGAGGGGAGGTCTGATCCTGCGGGCCCCTCGGAGAAAGCGCTTCACCAAGGGGTGGCTACGCGCAGAGTGGCTACCAAACCCCACGTGCCCTGTGGTAATGGCCGCCGCGAACACACCCAGAGTGGCGGCCGCCCTTCCCTTCTCCAGCAAAAACTGGAGAAAAGCCAAGACCTCCTGGATGGAACACGAGGTGGGGTCCAGGCCTCTGTCCACGCACCAAGAGGCGAAGAGTTTCCAGCGAACCTCATACGCTTTGGTGGTGGATGTAGCGACCACTGAGGGAGGGAGATCAAGGCTCAACAGTTTCCCCCTTTCCGCCTCCAAACCATGAGCCTGTGTCCCAGGACAGGGCGTGAGTAAAGGGCTCCCCCTGCCTGTCTCACAGCATCGGGACGGTCCGGAATGGGCCAAGGCGGACCGAGCGCCATGCTCACCAGGTCCGGATACCACCTGGCTCCCGGGCTGTCCGGCGCCACCACCAGGATGGAGACCCCCTCCCTCTTTACCCTGTAAAGCAGGGCTGCCAAGAGCCGGAGAGGCGGGAAGGCGTAGAGGAGACCATTGGGCCACGACCTGTGCGCCATGGCGTCCACCCCGAGAGGGGGCTCGTCGCTGGACCTGAGCGAGAACCAGAGTGGGCACTGTGCGTTCTCTGCATTTGCGAAAAGGTCGGCCACCGGTGTTCCGAACCGGAGCCAGACCTCCGCCACGACCGCTGGGGCGAGACCCCACTCGTCCCGCAAGGCCCCGCCCCTGGACATCCTGTCGGCGGCCACGTTGCGCTCGCCTGGGATGTGACGGGCCCTCAGAGAGGCTAGGTGAACGTCACCCACAGAAGAACCTCCACTGCCAGCCTGTGAAGGGCGGGGGACCTGGTCCCCCCCTGCCTGTTCAGGTAAGCTGCCACAGTGGTGTTGTCCGTCCGAATAATCACATGTTGGCCCTCCAGTCTGGTCACAAAATGGGCCAGCACTAACCGCACCGCCTCCAACTCCAGGAGGTTGATGTGCCCCAAGGGGGAGGACCAAACGCCTCCTGCCGAGTGGTGGCCGAGCACGCCTCCCCAACCGCTCAGTGAGGCGTCCGTGAAGACCTCGATGTGGTGGTCCACCAGACCCATTCGAACTCCCTCCTGGAGTCGACCTGGGGACAGCCAGAAGGCGACGTCGTTCCGAGCCCTCTCCGACAGTCGCTCCCTCCGTGATAAACCCCTGAGGTGTGAGAACCACCTCTGGAGATATCGCATGTGCAGCAACCCCAGTCTCACCACTGGATGGGCCGCTGCCATCATGCCCAAGAGTGACCGGATCTGCCGCGGTTGGACCCGAGGTTCGCCCAGAACGACCCGGCCCAGGATTTGAACCGCCGCTTGTCTCTCCGGCGAGAGTGAAGCCGTCATGCTCCTGGAATTCAAGACCAGCCCCAGATACGAAATCTCCTGGGCCGGGCACAGGGAGCTTTTGTCCATATTGATCACAAACCCTAGGCGGGCAACGTGGTTCATCACTCTGGACGTGTGATCCTGCCGCCTCCAGGATCAGCCAGTCGTCGATATACGTCAGTATCCTGAGGCCCTGACGCTGAAGGGGTTCTAGCGCCGCCTCCACACACTTGGAGAAGGTGCGGGGGGCTAGGGAGTAGCCGAACGGGAGTCGGCAATACTCGAAGCACCCCCCCCCCCCACCACAGAAAACCGGAGGAACTTCCTGTGCCCCAGAGCAATGGGTATGTGGAAATACTAGTGTTGTATCGTTCGTGAACGATTCGTTCAAAATGAACTAATCTTTTATATGACTCGGGAGTAACGAGTCTCCCCAGGAGCGATTCGTTCATTTTCATGCAGTACCTTCTCTCGCCACATGGCGGCAGCTGCATGAGCTCAGTCAGCAGCAGACAGGAAACAGAAATGATTCGTTCACCACTCACTCAGCTGGATCCATTCTCAGGTCCCAGTTCTTTAGTCACGTGACAGACAGGCTGTCTGTGAGCAGCAAGCACTGCAGTTCCTTCACGATTCGTTCATACGGATCCTGACGGATTGCTCTTTCGTTCATTCGTCACGTGACAGCTGTGGCTGGCTCAGACAGCTACGGGGCTGGGGGACTGTTGACTGAGAGCTGAACAAGGAAATGATTGATGTCTGATATCTACAGTTTATTTGTCATGTGACACCCGATATAGATTATTTATTCACGAAATCATAATTATAGTGGTCTTCAGTCCTTGTTGTGTTATTGTATAGCCTATATAATGAATGTGTTTGTAAATAAATACTTTAGAAAATTATATCAGCATATTTATTGTGTTATACTCTGCCACAAAATAATAAAACATAACAATGATAACAACAAACACAATAAAAATAACAATAATAGTAATAATAATAATGTCACTTTTTGGACACAATAAATGCACCATGTAAACATAGGCAACTCATCAACTATTATTTTTTGTTTTTAATTGTATCATTAATTGTCAAAATTAGTTTTACATTCGCTGTCCTCTCCCCAGCTGTCATGTGATCGACTGCTCGGCCGAAAGGGTCTCTGTCTGCTTAGGCTGTGGAGCAGAGCAGTACTTGTTCTCGTTCAAATCGTTCATTTGTCACATGACTCGCGGGCTGACCGGGTCTTTCTCGTTCATCGTTCACAGCTCAGTACTTCGTTCTCGTTCGTCCAACTGGTTCCTTTGTCACATGACTCGCGGGCTGACCGGGTCTTTCTCGTTCATCGTTCATCGGTTCACAGCTCTGGCTCAGGCTGACACTGTGCGCCTGCAACATTGCTTCTCTCTGATTGGTCTGTTTTCACTGTCACGTGACAGTTACCCAGACTGCCGTGCTGTTAAACAATGATAACAGAGAGGATACAGGACACAAGTTACATTATTGTGGTGTGTGTTAGCTTTCCTGGGTTTTCAAATGGCTTGAATAGCTTATGGCATTTTGTGTGTTATACTTTGTCACCGTAAGCAAACCATCTTGTCTTCAGTATTTATAGTTGGAGAAAACACGTCGTCGGCATGAGTCCTGCATTGTGGGCCACTACAGCGCCATCTGCTGTACAAATGAACGAAATGATTCGTTCGGGACTCGTTCAATTTACTGTTCGAGAGTTAAAGAATCGAATCAGAGGAAAGAACCGGTTTTCCCATCACTAGGAAATACGCATCTCTGAGGTCCACGGAGGACATCCAGTCCCCGGGCCTGATGCTCAGCAGCAGCTGTTTGACTGTGAGCATGCGAAACGGTCGCTTGGCTATGCAACCGTTGAGGACGCGCAGGTCCAGAATGGCCCGCACCCCCCCGCTCTTTTTGGGAACAATGAAGTATGGAGAGTAAAACCCTGTCCCTGCCTTGAGCGGGTCTACCTCCGCTACCGCGCCGCGCTGCAGAAGCGCGTCGACCTCCCTGTGAAGCGCCACGGCGTCCTCCGGGCTGCATAGCCTTGTCTGGAGAATGCCGCAGAAAGGAGGGGGCCGCCAGGAGAACTGGAGAGCATAGCCCCGATGCAGCACTCTGCGTATCCACGGTGTTCCCAGGAGCCCTGCCTGTTCCCATACGGTGACAAAATGAGTCAAGGGAAGCACGGCGGGATGGGAGGAGGGAGTAAGGCCCGGCCCGCCCACAGACGTCCCTCCTGGGGAGGCATCGGATAGTGGGGGGCCCCTGGGAAAAGGGCTGAGCCCTAGCTGCGGCCCTGGGCCTTTTCCCGGGCGGCAGAGTGAGGGCAGGCGCGCTGCGCTTTCGTGGAGCAGAGCCCCCGCACCCCAACACTGCGGACTGAGGGGGGGTCCGGGCAGACCCACTTATCGCTCTGGAGCGTGGGGGGCCCCTGAGAAGAGGGCCGAGCCCTGGCTGCGGCCCTGGGTCCTTTACCGGGTGGCAGCGTAAGGGCAAGCGGGCTGCGCTTACGTGGAGCCGAGCCCCCTTTCCCCAGCACTGTGGACTGAGGGGGGGCCGAGCAGTCCCCCTTAATGCTCTGGATAGTGGGGGACCCCTGGGAGGAGGGTTGAGCACTAGCTGCGGCCCTGGACCTTTTTCCGGGTGGCCGCAAGAGGGCAGGCGTGCTTTGCTTCCGCGGAGCCGGGCCCCCGCCCCCCAACACTGGAGACTGAGGGGGGGCCGAGCAGTCCCCCTTGTTCTTCTGGATAGCTGCGGCCCTGTGCCTCTCACACGGAGCGCTGTGAGCTGGTGCTGCTGGCGCACAAGGAGCGTAGGAGGGGAGCGCACTGTCACACACTCCCTACCCACGGGAGGCGAAACCACGGGGAGTGCACAGCGAACCTGGAGCCTGCCTCCAACGTGCCACCTCGCAGCGCGTTGAGAGAGGCTCCAGACGCCCTGTAGAGGAGCAGCGTTGGCCAAATGCTGAGTGAGAGGGAAAAGGGAAAGAAGTTGACTCTTTATGGGAGTAACGGGCCTGCTTGCGGCCTTTATTAAAGTATTTCCCTCCCCTCCCTGTAGCTGGAGAGCCGGGGTGGCTGCCGCTCCTCCGTTGGTCACGAGCTTGCTGTCTCCCGCGCACAGGACCCAGAGAGCCTCCAGGCTCTGAACGATGCGGGGGGGCCGGGCGGTCACGGGTTCTACGCTCCGCATAACCCGGACGCCGTGCCGTGGGACGAGGAGCCCGCGGAGGACGGAGATGCTGTGCCAACTGAGCGGAGGTCTTGGACGCTGTTTCCATCCGCTCCACGAGGGTCTGGATGTCCGGTCCAAACAAGGAAGAGGAGGAGAGCGGCAGATCCAGAAGGCGCCGCTTATCAGCATCCCTGAGAGGTGACAGGCCCAACCAGAGATGGCGGCAGGCGACCTGGGCTGCACACATGGACCTACCACCGTCCACCGCTAAGCCCTGTGCCATGCGGAGGAAGGTGGCCATAGTATCCTCAGCCTCCTCGATCTCCGTCCGGGAGAGCTCCTCCCGACCCCGGATGAGAGTGTCGAGGGAAGCAGCGAGGAGAGTCATGTTATTTGCCAAAGCAACGACCTGTGTTGCATTGGCATAACATCTGTCGAGCATGGAGATGGTCAGCTTGTCCCGCTCGGAGGGAGCTGCCAGTCCAGACCACGGAGATGAAGCTGGAAGCAGAGACAGGCGCACTCCGTCCTCTATGGGAGGAACGCCTGACGGCCTAGGCCATGCGTCCACTCCTGCATACACTCCGTACGCCAAGGCCGGGGATTTGGCTGCCATGGGCCTATCCCACTCACGGCTGGCATAATGCAGCAGCGGTTCCATCCTGGGAGCGACCACCTCGCGTCTGCGTTGCCGGGGGGAGGGAGCGAGGGACTGTAAATAGTCCACCGGAGGCGAGGCAGGCTGGACCGGCATCGCCATACGCATCCTGACCACAGCCGATGCGGTCAAATGCGAGAAACGATCCAGGGGATAGCGCTCGCGTTGCCCCACCTCCTGGGAGTAGGAGGACTGGGCATCCTTCTCACAGGGCTCCACCAACTCCCCCTCATCGTAGTCGGACCCTGGTCCAGATCCAGAGCCTGACATCTCCGCTGATCCAGGCGAAGCAGCAGTGTGGGCGGAGGGTGGCACACCATGAGCGAGGCCACCCTGGGCATCACTACAGGCGGCGTTGAGTAGCCCGCTGCGCCTGTCAGAGGCAAGCCACACAGCTGGGGCTTTCCTCCGCGGCATGACGCCAGCCCAGGCAGAAGACGCAGGACTCGTGGCGGTCAGCCTGGGAGAGTGCCGCTGGGCACGAGTCGCAGACCCGCAGCCTGACACCGGAGGGTGACAGATCTTCAGGCGCGGCGAACTTGCTTGATGACATCCTTAATCCAATGAATCGAAGCTTCTCTTAGGCAAGCTGAGAGAGAAAAGGAGAAGAGCTGTGGTGCATGACCCTTTTATAGGGGACAGACCTACGCCAGGACGTGAAGGTGATTGGAGGGTGGATCGTTTGATCTTCTCAGGGCGGGAAGCGATGCTTCCGAAGAGATATGCATTAGCGAAGCCTAAAGGGCGAAGCAACATATGAAATAGAATCTATTCTCTGAGCCACATGAAGCCAGTGCAGAGACCTGAGAACTGGACTAATGTGGTTGTACTTCCTGGTTCTAGCAGAATTCGAGCTGCGCCGTTTTGAACATACTGCAGCTGTTTTTCAACATGTTCAGGGAGACCAGTGAGAAGGCCATTACAGTAGTCTAACATACTGGAGACAAATGCATTAATGCACAAATGCTTGTTGATAAACCTTTGATATATCTTTATTAAATGACTTGCCGTGGTTAGGGTATCTCCAAGATTTGAAGATAATGCGCCTAGAGGACTGTGATGTGCCGTAACTGAAGACGATGTATCATGAAAGCCGAATGTCAACACATTTATGAAATCCAGAGCCCTGTAAAATAGAATATTGTGAGATTTACAACATTACTCCTGTAAACATGTAAGCCAATATCTTACGCAGCAATCAATGCGACTTCATAACTATCATCAATCAGTGCCTTGTCTGCAGACACACTGGCAGAGAGTATCAACGTTGGTGATTCAGCTTTAAATGCGGTTTGGAGCTCCTGGAAATAATAGAGATAATTGTGGTTGTGGTAAAGGTTTCCTGTCAAGCCATTGTATTGCTAAAAGTTTGATATCATTTATAAATGGTTTCAACCTGACAAAGGCTTGTGAATCGATCCTTGTCCCGTGGCTGGCTGTTTGCATCCCCAGGATAGCGCCAGTCCAGGTTCAGTCCATGAAACCCATTGCTCTGAAGAAAGGTAATAACTGAAGTGATGAATGAACTTCTGGTTTTGGAAGAGGCCACCATGGATGAAAACCTGTTATGAACAAAGATAAGACATTTATGAACTGTTGTGAAGTGTTGTTGCATTTCTAAAATTCTGTTCTAACCACAGAGGCAGTGCATGTTCCTCTACTCTCAAGAACAACGTTATTATTCAAGTGGGACAGGTGACATAAGTCTAAAGTAAATTTTTCAGAAAACAAAACTCACTTCTGATTGTCAAAGGCAGGGCCACCAACAGCGAGCAGAGTTTTCAGGTTTGCGTTACTGAGTGAGAAAACGAAAGAACATGATTTATTACGTGTCATAAGCACATTGCGGCTGTTGTGTAAAAGCACAGAGACCTGTTTTTGAGGTTGTTCAGTTCTGTAAACAGCGCCGTGTCTGTAGGTGCGGTGGCTGTGAGTTCATTTTGGTTGTTGACAGCTGCGAAACCGAAGACGATGTGGGTGCACAGACCTGGATCAATGTTGGCCGGAGTGAAGCCTCTGGTGGCGGCTTCTCGGTTGTAGTAACACACCAGATTATTGCAAGAGACTAGACATAAGAGTGAGGTTATAGTGACTTCGTATGTATTATCATATTATTACAGTATTAGCACATCATCAAAAAACTATAAATAAACCTTTATCAAAACAACTAAAATGTGACACAGCATTTTTCATTTATGTTCATTTCTGACGAATAAGTGAAAATGATTAGGTGACTTATACTGGTTGCCTCGCTTCTGTCCGTGTGCCCCAGGGCAGTTGTGGCTACAGTAGTAGTTTATCACCACCGTGTAGGGAGTTAAAGAATAATGACATAGCGTCTTTGAGTGTCCAAAAAAGCGCTACATAAAACCGATGCATCATTATTATTATTATTATTATTATTATTATAAATCAATTAAATATTGTTTATAAAGCGCTTTTCACACATAAGATTAAACAGAAGTGCTTAACTGTAAAAACAATCCCATATGACCAGGACCCAGCAGACCCCCCTCACACCACAAATATAAACCACACATAAGGGAATAGACTTAGGCATTAGTCTTTTCTTGATCATTTTTGTTCATTTCAATTCTGAATAGGCTCGATGTGTTTTTTGTTATAGAAATTTGCTCTAGATTATCACCCCGTGTCATTTGTTTTGTGATTCTGGTTTTTGAAGAGTAATTCTAAAGTGAATGAAATGCACCTTAACCAAATCTGTATATGGACCACTTAGCAGCTTTTATCATCAAAGCAAAGTCATTCTCAAAGCGCAACAAAGTCTAATCTAATCATAATTTTCTTTTCATATTATTTGCACATATTAGGTTGAAAAAGTCCTATGCTGTCAGTGGGAGAGCTCTGACTGACTCACACCTACTTTCTTTTTTCCTTTTGGATTGAATACACGTTCACGTTTACACACTTTGATCCCTGTAGGGAAATCAGTCCACTGCATTTGACCCAATCTGCAATTTTACTTTACTTTACATTTAAGCATGTTTACCCGAAATGTTGCAAAATGTTCAAGTAGAAAGTACAGTTTTGACTTTATATGTTCACTCCAGCGGTCTTTAAATAACCAAAATTGTATACTGCAAAAAATTATAAAATATGAGGTCATATATCAGGTGGTTTTTATCTTACTTTGAGCACATTCTGATTTGAACAAGCCATAAACAAAACAAGATCATTTTGCCTGTGCAATTGGCAATTTTCTAGGTTTAAGGCAGTCAACTTAAGATACATCTTTGCCAAATGGAGTTTTTTTACAAGAAGGAAGAATTCACCCTGTTGTCAAAAATGATTTGACCGACGTGTTCAGAATTTGGTACAGAAATAAGGCCAAGATTCAAGAGTTCCAATAGTACATTTATTTCTCTTTACAATTAAATGTTGATACAGAACTCCCGGAGCTACTCCCTAAATCTCTATCCCTGTGCTCTAACTCTCCCAATGTTTCCTCCCAACGGTTTTATCAGAATCTCCGATGACGTCATATGGTCTCAGGCTGGTCCCAGTCTGGTTTTGTCTCAGGCCGCTAGAGACACGCTGTTCCTGAAAATGATACTTTTATCACAGAAGCCTTGTCCTTGGTGCTTGTCTGAATTCCATTAAATCCAGGCTTTAATATTGCACAAAGACATGTTTGCAAACACCTACTGGAAATCATTAGTATACAACATTATAATTCTACAACACTCCCTCTCTTTGACCTATCATAAATAGGTCACATCCACGTTCTCATCCATCCGTGACATCATGAGTGACAGCATCCATGCTTCTTTAGTTCAGGCAGGATTCCTGTGAAGACGTTAATTCAGAGAAAACACAACTAACAACCACATTTGAAACATTCCTTTACAAATCACATTACTGATTCTTCATCAACCTCGTCTGTAATGTATGCACTAAAACTATTCACTATTAGTTTAAAACTATTCTAATCTATTTACAAATATGTTTGCATATTTGCTTTTACTGAGCCATATTCTTAAACATATGTTTTTATCTAATAAATCCCTCTATACTGTGGTTTGCTTTCATTATCAGTGGCTTTGTGCCAGTGGGATTTTGCTCCATGTTTATTCCACATTCTCTAATCTGTGCTGACAAATCGACAGCTTTTAAAATTCTCAAAAATATCTAAATATCTACTTTTGTGCTATACCCAAATACATCAAAATGCTTTTAAATGTTTTTGAATCTCTGTTGGTTCTAATTGTAGCAATAGCATCGGCAATAGATGATTTTTCATTGGCTCGTTCTTGTTCTGCAAATCACTATTTTATGTATTGTATTTCAGACAATTCCAAAAACAACACAGTAGTTTTCAAATATTAAAGACATAAATCTAAATCAAGTTGCCTGAAAGGGAGCGGGAAGAAGAGAACTAATTAAAAAACGTTATCTACGATTATATGGCTATGAAATTAATTATTTAATAAACAAAAGCACATTCATGGCTTCTGTCCGCTGCTTATAACTGTTTAAAGTGTTGTCCAAAACTTAATATGTGTAAATACATCAGCTGTTTGTAATAAACAATAACATTTGACCTGTTCACTCCAATGGAGCAGCTCAGAGGCTGCGTCAAGAGCAATGTTATATTTGAGCTATTTTTAGATTAAAAAATGGTTTGTTTTATTGAGCGTGGCTAGCTTTCCGTTGGCTTCTCTACACAGACAAGTGTGTAGTGACAGGCGCTGATAGCTGTTTGTACTTGCAGAGTAATGGCTGAAGTATTTTACACACCTGAATTACAAACAGAGATTGCATTGGGCTTCGGTCATTATTGGTTGAGAGTTCTGTTGATCAAGAAAAAATGATCGGAAGTGCTGCTGCTTTGAGGAGCTCTATAACAAATAATAAATTAAATATTAGATTATATTCTAATGTTTTAAATTAATACATTCGGACGCAAAACTAGCGGTATTCTTTTACTTATATATTGTGTTAGCAGTGTGGTTGCTTTTAGTGCCATTTCATCAGTGATTGTTGCACAGCTTACAAGAAGTTGCGCTAATGCGCTAATGTTAGCATATGTATCAGATCGAAATAAAAACTAGGTGGCTCTGTGTGTATGAGAGCGTAGGGGACAATGAGAAAGCCTGTGAGCGAGTTGGGGGGCGGTGCTAGACATTCAAACATTGCAGAAGAAAGGGTTTTATAGCGCCTTTAACAACATAAAGTGAGAAAAAAATATATATAATTTGATTGTATTGTTGAAAAGAACTCACCGGTTTCAAGAGTCAGCCACAAAACTGAGGAAAAGAGTGATTAAAGTCAGTTTTTCACATATACTTTAAAGTTAAAAACAAACAGATGAATTACCTGCTGTAAGAAGTAGTCTGCGCATGTTTCTGGATGTGCCGAACATAAATACAGAACTGATACACTTGCTGTCTGAACGTCTTCTGAGGATTTCCGTCATGAACCGAAACAAGCATAAGAGCACCTTAATTTATTTAATGTCAAATGCACTGAAGGGACGAACAAGTCTGTCAAAGAAACCAGGTTTAATTGATTACTCCTGCTCTGTCATACCACAACCGCATTAGTGTGAGCCAGTTGATACGGACAAAGGCATTTGATAAACGAAAAGACATGTGTGGATCCGAACAGCAGGCGCATGTTTGCATAACCCAGACACCTCCTGATAAAGGCCAATAGATTTGCAAAAAGGAAATTATACAGTGTAAAGATGATTGCTTAAAAACTCAAAATGAAAAAAAAAGTGAACCAAAACCTCTCACCTCGAATTATTATGAAGCTCTTCGCGAAAGTTCACTGTGGTAGACCCGGCCGCTGCTTGCCCAGATCTACAAGCCTGTCATCCTCTACTCATTACACCAAGCAACGCCACACTCTAATCAAACCAATAACCACCAGGACAGCAAGTTAAAAGCCGGAGACACCCACTTCCCAGCCTTCTGAAGTCCCGCAAGCTTCTGAAGCCTGCAAGGTGCATGTCGATAACGCACCTGTTCGCAAATGCTCATGCGTTGTTCTGGACGGGGTCGCTTCTGCCACGTGTTGCTCGTGGCTCGTGGCCCTGCTGTCTCAGTCTGGCTGCTCGTGGTCTGCTCTCCTCCCCTGTCCCCTGCACCTGCTGTGGTTTGCATGTCTCCCACTGCTCTCCTTCTCTGCTGGGCCTCTTCTGCGGGTGCTCGCGGTGGGCCTCCGCGGGTTTTGTGCTGCACGTTCTCGTCATGGTGCACGTCCCTTAGGACTTCGCTAGTGGGATATCACTCGTGACCCCAGTCACACGCCAGAGAGATCAAAATAATTTGCTCCAATCACCAGCCACCTTCCTCTATAAATGCCCCTGCACAAGGCCGCACCCCCTCTTTCACTCTGGCGCCGTTTGAGATCTACCACAGTACTTACTTCATTCTGAGATGGTCTTCCTTGTTCGTCCGAGTTCCCTTCGCCCTCCGGCGTCGGACGTCGTCACTGGATCCAGACGGTGGAGGACTTCACCTCTGTGGGCGCCACCACTCGAGGAAGGAGGAGGATGCAACCCACGTTGTGCCCGCGGATGGACCCGTTCGACCATTACGCGACACGTGAGTGGCCAAAGCCCCTAGCAGCCAAGAGGCCTGCTCTGGGGTACGACATATACTGCAGCGGGCAGGACTGGTCCTGGACCGGTGATCGAGGATTCAGTCCGCATGGCCCTGCAGCCCTCCGCATCCGTGTGGCCCGGCACCAGACCTCTCCTTCTCTCCGAGCGGGACAGGATGTCTTGCCGAGGCTGGATAGATATTATGCCAATGCGGCACAGGTCGTCACATTGGCTAACAACATGACTTTCATCACGGGGGCCCTGGATAGGTCGCTCTCCTCTGGCCAGGCGCTCAGTGGAGACCTCCTGTCACAGGCGAGGACCACCTCTCGGCGGCGACTCTGCGCATGTGCCAGACGCTAGCTGTGGATGGTGGCCGCTCCATGGCAGCAGCCCAAGTCGGGCCAGGCACCTTTGGCTTGGGCTGGCTAATATCAGGGAGGCGGAGAGGAGGCAGCTGCTGGACCTGCCCACCTCTCAGATGTCCCTCTTCG